CTGGGCCCCTCAGCTCAAGAGAGACAGGGAACTGCTGGAGAGAGTCCAGCGCAGCCACAGAGATGCTGAAGGAAGTGGAACATCTCCCTGATGAGGAAAGGCTGAAGGAGCTGGGGCTCTTTAGCTTGGAGGAGACTCAGGGGTGACCTCATAAATGTTTAGAAATATATAAATGGTGAGAGTCAGGAGGACGGAGCCAGGCTCTTTTCAGTGATGTCCAATGACAGGACAAGGGGGAACGGATACAAGCTGGAGCGTAGGAGGTTCCACAAAAACATTAGAAAAATACTTTCCTCTGTGAGGGTGACAGAGCCCTGGCACAGACTGCCCAGGGAGGTTGTGGAGTCTCCTTCTCTGGAGACATTCAAAACCCACCTGGACGTGTTCCGGTGGGATCTACTCCAGCAGAGGGGTTGGACTAGAAGGTCTTTCAAGGTCCCTTCCAACCCCTAGCATTCTGTGATATATAGACATTACTGTTCACAAAACAGCTTTCCTCATAGTAATATTACAAAACTGTAAAGTTTAGGTCTGACTGAAGATCACCTTAGCTAAATATGTAATTTTCCTTTTAGTTGTCTTTGCCTGGTGCTCCCACTGAGATTTATTTTTCAAACAAGCTTAAAGTTTTCAGAAAATGCATGGTGACAACTGGAGATGGGCATTATATTAGTTTAAAAAGAGCGATCAAGCAACTATCCCCATCTTTAGAGTTCTGCCTGTCGTCGACATAAGGCACTTCAGCAATTTAACCTCTCGGTTAGGTTGGTAGAGACCACATGCACACTATGCTGATAATACCATTGCTAATAATGACTGGGACAATAGGTCTCAAAACTGGTTTCCATGCTGCCTAAAATCAGCTTTGTTCCAACATAAATCACTAGAGATTACAAGAAAGAAACTTTGATCTGATTTCCTTCTAACATAAAGAAAGGTCAGAGCATAATGGGTGAATTACAACTTGTTAAAATGCCAAAATCAAGTAACTGAAAAGGATGAATGCTCTGCCCAAAGGCTTCCTCAAATCAAACCTTGGAAAAGAATTATCTGCTCTGTTCCCTTCACCTCCTCACTCCCAGCTGGAATATCGCTTACTTGTCCACGTGTACAAAGGACGAAGGTGGTCATTACTTTGGAATTTGGAATTCCCAATTAAAAAAAACCAAAACCAACAAACCACCAAACACAAACCCACACAAAACCCAATACACATATTAAATATCTCTCAAACTAAGTCAGCAAAGCTGGGAAGTTTTTCTTCAGAGTCAAGTGCTCAAAGAAGGTACCTTCAATTTTATCTTGCATAAGGGAATGTGAATGACGAGACCAAAACAGATCCCATAGACTTCCTTCTTCTGAATTAGATTTGACAGGGCTCACATTGACTATAAAATTCACACAAATCAGAATTTCTGCAACAAAATATTACATGTATGTGATCTTGTAACAGAGCCCTGATGTTTACATAGCAACTGCTTTCTGTATTACTGCATACGCTTGCCTGGTAAAGCACAGTATGGATCATCCTTTCACATGCGGCTGACGTTTCTAGACAATCTAGTCTGCATAGCTGAAATATACAGCATTCCTCTGCCTTGGTTTTATTCAGAAAACATGGAAACATATTTCAGGCAAAGCCTGCCTGCTCTAAATCTGCCATTTCGAGTTCTTTTGTTGCAGAAATTCACTCTTCTCCACTTACTGAATACCTGCCTCCCAATCCTTCTCCTTATATGCTCTTACGAGCTAATAAAATCGTCAACCACTGGGATTTAGAAAGTGGTTACATACTTATAATAATTGCACTGAAAAAAACCATGTTGCGCTCCAAATTCGGGTTCTACGCTAACTTATGATCCAATAACGTAACTTGTGCAAAAGAAGAAATTGCTTCAAGTTATTCTCTGAACACATACATGCACGCACATGCATATAGACTTTCATATATTCCTAACCGATTCCTTGGCGTTTCGGTGATCTTTTATTTAGTTCCAGCTGCAAGATGCACATACCAATCAATTCTCAACTCGGATGGATTTATCAGAGCTCTATATATAAAGTTGCCAATAAGCACACACATAATCAGCCAACTAAAAATTAAATATTACATCTAGGTATAGAGATTTGAAAATACCTAACTCTTCCAACTCTATACCCAAGAGGCAGGAAATACATCCTTCCTAGTACCGTTTTGTAGATCATTATGTCTTAGTTATTATCATCAGCAAATAAAACACTAAGATTACAAACAGTGAATCTTAATGCATTCTGAGGTAACGATTACCTTTGGATTAAAATATCTGCAGGACTGGGGCTGTGAGCCTCCAAACAGAGCAATGCGATAGTCATGTTTTTTTCTTCTTGGCCGTGTACCTTCCACTAACTCTTCTCTGTCTTCTGGGGAAAGCAGATGGTATCGCATCCCACCTAGAAGGAAGATAACAACTATTTGCAGATCCAGCGTAGCTTGTACGTGGAAAGCGATGTTTCAGAGGCACGAACAGGGTGAGGAGGGAAGGGGAAAACCAAGTCTCTACATTACCCCCGGCCAGCTTTGATTTAAGAGGGAAGAATGCACGGCAGCACATAAGGATGGGAGCGTACATCCAGATTTATGCTCTATTTCAGATTGCCTGCTCCATGTGAAAAGAGGATATGGATATCGACTCATGTTATATCAGCTCTTTTAGCCAATATTAACAAGCAATTAAAGTTTACCACATTGAAACAGGCAAAAGGAAGCAAACCCAAAGAACAGAACACCAGAATTGGGAACTTAAAGACGACAACACTAACATTAAAAGAAGGGACTTGAATGCAGTGAGTAGACAACCATGCTCACCTCCTCACCCCATAATTTCTGATTAATAAGGAAGGCATCTCTAGCACATTGTGCCTCACAAAAATCCCTCACTTTTGTTCTTAGCTTGACAATGCAAAGTATGTTATAACTGGTACAAAAAAATAAGCATTCTCCTAAGAAACATTCTAAAGAATGTAAAAGTTAATGACATTATAAGTCTACAACCAGAAAAAAATCCTTATTTCTTAAACAATGCACCCAATTCCATGTCCTACAAGAAGCATGACTGAGACGTCAACGGTCAGCAAATACTTACCTATACCTAAGTTAATTTGAAAGTTCACTCATCAAAACTGAAGGAACACAGTTGCGTACTGTTTTTTAAATTTACACTAAAATGAAGCCAACTAGTTAACCACTACTAAAATAAAATAGTTTCTTTCTAGAATATTTGTCAGCATCTAGCCTTTTCCTTCTTATATGATAAAACTTCACAAATGGTTTCTAAAAACAAGTGGGAAGTTTGTTCTCTATCTCATCTGCACCTTGAAAATGCAACTGCCTGTAGGCACAATAGTCAGTATATATTAGAGATAAAAACAGCACAACATATGCTTGATGTTCTCATTTGATTAGGGAAGCTTTGTAATATTCAAAATTGATATAAAGTATTTTTTATTAATTCACATAGGAATACGAACAATACTGAAGTTACTAGTCTGTCCCAAGGCACACTAACACTTCCAGTTACTCTAACAATTCATTGATGAAATCTGAATTATTTGTCATAGAGTTCGCGACCTTTGCTAGGAGAAAAGAAATAAAGTCACACTTAGTTACATAAACTGGGCTTTATTTAAATGATAATCTGCTAATCCATCCAACTTGGACTAAACACAGCATCCTAGAGGGAACACAGTCAGTTGAATTTAATATGAAAATGTTGTCAGAGCATTTTAAAGCAAACAGTTTTTTAAAATTCCACAGTATTTTTTAATTATACAGAATTTTAAAGACTTCAGCTAGAATTCAACTTACTGATCACCATTTTAAGGCATTCTGGGTTATCCTGAATAAGTGGTTCAGCCTGAACTGTTTTACTTAAGAAGTTCTTTGATATAAGAGGAAATCGGACTTTAGCAAGAATATCAACCATGTATGGCTGGCGATTTGTCTCATCATACTTCAGCCATCTGACTGCAGCATCATAAACCTTAAACAAGAGAGAAAAAGAAAAGAATAAGGCACATCACCACAGAAAAAGACAAATAACATCCAGCCTGGCCTTAAAAACTTCCTGGGATGGGGCTTCCATCCCCTCTCTGGGCAGCCTGTGCCCATGTCTCACCACCCTCATGGGGAAGAACTTCCTAATGCCCAATCTAAACGGATCCATCTCTGGCTTTAATCCAGTCTCTCTAGTCCTATCACTACCCGACATCCTAAAAAGCCCCTCACCAGCTTTCTTGTAGCCCCCTTGAGATACTGGCGTCCTCAATAAGGAGATCTACAATAAGGTCTCCTCGAAGCCTTCTTTTCTTCAGATTTACTTTCATGAAGGAAAAATAGAGCAGCTATTAGATAAAGCTACCTTCCCTTTTTTGGACAAATGTAAACATGCTCTACACCGATAAAAATGTTATGAGTAGAATGTCAACTTTCCAGCAGTAATTCCAAGAAATAAGATTCCCATAGTATCTGTGAGAAAATAGCAGAAGATCAGCAAAGGAGGATTGTAAACACACTTGAGCAACTTGCAGCTGGGATGTCAAAACACACATACACTAATTGCTGTTTAGTTTTGTGTGCTTGACAAGTAGAACATCTGTGTTCAGATAACAGACCTGTGACAGACTCAGAGATACCTTATCCAACATGCTTGAGATCCTGCCTTGCTGTGGGAAAGATCAAAGCGGAGCAGAAAACGGTGTCTGCAAAAAATCCCTGATAGAGAGGCAAAAGCAGGAGGTTCAAAAGTTTTTTCACCCTCTATCTGGGATTGAGCTCGACAGTGCCTGCATTCCCATTTGCATGCCTCCACCTGGGTGCTGCTCTGGAGGTCCCCTGGTTTGCAAGGTAGTGAAAATACATTTACACTTCGCGTTTCATCTGTGGTTTTGTGGTCATTCCTGCATCCTGCCTGTGTCAGCTCACACATTATCACTGGCAAACTTCTGCTGTTTCATGGTGTGCACTGATACTTTCTGAAAGGAATTTTAATGAAGTTGTGCTGCCTACACAAAATTTCTGCCACTGCTGCCAAGCTAAAGCATGCCACCCTGCCTTCCCAAAAGAACTTCTAGAAGGAAAATTCGAGTGTCATTTTGGCTGCAAGCCAAACACTTGCAATTTTGAGAATGTTACCCTGCAACCTGAACTTTCCCAGAACATGGTAAGAATGTCGAACTGTGACCTAACATATTTGTACTTGTAACTAGCCAACTACGACAGTAAATCACCTGCTACTATCCCCAACTCTTAATCATTCTTATTTTTGTTAAACTTTTTACAGCAACAGATACTCAAGAAAACATATTCTGTGAAAGCTAAACTTCGGTCAGGGAACCCTCCATTTCTAAGTGGTTACACACACCATCTTGGCTACGAGATCCCTCTGTTGCACTTCGAAGGAATGAGTCAACTCACGAGGACATACCCAAACTAAAATTAGCTAGTTCAAGCAGCAGAACGACATAGCTAGAAAGGCAAGATTTCAGCTTGTTTTCAACAGATTTGACTGAGGAGCTACAAAAACTATGCAGCAGCTACAACCATCCTGCAGTCACCTCTCTGGGCCACGCTGCAGACACCTGCAGCAGGAAGAACAAGCTGGCAAACAAGCATTCAGGGCTGTGCTATAAGCTGAATCAAGCTTTCCAAATGGGACAGCTCAGAATGTAACTTCTACCACAGGTTACAACTTCCTAGTGAAGCTCCTGGCTTCTTTCAGCCACCGGAACTGTTTTGTGTCCACTCCCTAAATAAGGGCCTTCCATCAATCACTGTCAATGCATCTAGATTTCAGTGCTTTGGTCATCTTCCTTCCAAGTCCCTCAGTTCCCCAAGCTTGTGCATCCACGCATTTCCATCAGAAGCAACTCCTCCTTGGAATGGGCCGGGACCATGCTCAGCTAGAGACATGCACCATTAAGGCGCAGTTTGCTTACCACTCTGAAGTAGTTCCCTTTCACCACTAGCACATGGACCCCGATCCAGGAGCAACTGCTGTAATACACCCACCTTAATTCGGCTCACAGAATTCAGTTCATATACTGAGGAATCAGAAACGCTGTAGCTATCTCAGTAAAGGAAACCGTTTCGCTTATTCCCTTTATGACTTTTTTCTTCCTAATTTGCTGAAACAACATGTAATATAACCACACCTGAAACATGTGTATTCATTAATATTTGGGTTTCAGCAAGCCAGGATGCAGCTTTTACTCAACAATTTAGTAAGCACTATGTGCATCATAGACTGTAGGAACACCAAAAGTGATACTTTAAACCAGTTCTTGGTTAAAAAACAAACACACAAAAAAAGCTAAAACAATGAAATTCAGTGCTGTCAGTTGGTATGAAACAGAGCTCTCACCTGGTCTTCTGCCCTCACTGTCAACGTATCTTGGTTCAAGAGATGTGTCACACGCTTAACATCCAGTTGAAGAAACTCATCTGTCTTGTAAACTTCAGTGAAATGCTGATGGATAAAGTCATCTGCAGTGGCTTTAAGTTCTGGACAGTCTAGGCATTCTGCTAACACACTTATACCTATGAAGGAAAAATTAAGAGAAACACCTTCCAAACGTGAACTGCAATCACCTTTAATATACTGAAGTAGAAGAAAATTACTGTAGTTTCAGTGATACTTGCTACTCCAGCTTAATATTTACTACCATGCTGCCTTTTTTTTTTTCCTTTAAAACATATGCTATCTATCTTAACTCATCTGCCACTCAAGACAAGCTAAGCACAAGCTGCTGATCCCTATCCCTGTCAAACTAATTGGAGAGTCAGACCTGCAGCACTTGCTGTATTAACCTCTCTAGCACTATTTTCTCCCCGTTGCTTTCCCAATTACAAAGCAAGTCCGAGCCATACTGCAATAATAAAGTCTAACTAGAACAGCTTGAGAAACTGGATCCAGGTTTTATGACCTCTCCTGACTGCTCATGCAGCAGCAGTCACCAACCAAGCCCAATTTCCTTCAAGAGTCACAGTGAACTGAGACTTTTCTATACAGGTAGCACAGTCAGCTGTATACCAGACAAAAAAGTCTGATGCTGTTGCAGGAGCAGAAGGTTGGCATAAAGGTACAAAGAGAAGCCTGTTACCAAGAAGCATCGTTTCCAACTCTCCCCTTAGAAACCAGGCAAGCACAGACCTTTTCAGTCAACTTTTCATCATCATGCTGCAGTCTTCCTCCTCCTTTGAAGGAAGGGATAGCAAATGCAGTAGAAGCAACTCACCAGCTCATGGGCTGCAAATACCCTGAGCTGCTCTAAGTAGTAAAATGCAAACTAGAAAGATAAAAATTGAGTGCGCAAGCTCTTTGCAAAATTTTCAAGAGAATCAAAATATACTATGGGTTCTTTCAAATAGACTTTTTTTTTTTTAAATGAACTGTGGACTTGCCTAGAACTGGATAGAACACATAGAACTGCATAGAACACATTTCACCTTGTAAACAATGCCTTGGATAAAAACGGATTTAATTTTTATCTCCCTTTTTGCTACAAATTAGCAAAGTATGCAAGTGTTAGAGATCATAATTTTCTAGTTAACAAAAAACACCGAAGAGGGAATATGCCTCAAAGCACACATAAGTGGCATTTTCCACAGAAGGTAATGCCTTTCCTCCAGCAGTTATTTCAGAAACACAGTTGTACTGCACACTAAAGCATCAGCTGATTCATTATAATTCAGATACTCTGCAAAACATTTCTATTGATATTATAAACACTTATAACATCATTGAGATGTTACTAGAATTACATGACACACATCAATAAGAAACCTTGTGAACAAGTTTATCTTTTTATCTCTGTTTAAATAAAGTGTACCAAATCTTAAGTATGAAAAAGCATTTAGTTCTACTTGTTTACCTTTTCTGTAACATTTACATGGGAGCTACAGAACGTATTAAGTTTTAAACCAGCCCAGATAACATACATGCATTTCAGTCAAAATGAAGAGCAACTAAAAATCAAGAGTAACCTAAACTTATCCTGTTCATACTTCTAGATGTGCTAGTTTTGTAGAAATTATCACTGCCAAATGCTGTCTCCAAGTACAGTAACAACAATCGAGAGCTCACCTTACTAAACAGCTGACATTCTCTAACCAACAAAAATCTTCAGGTGCTGCCAAGCTGAGAGAAGACCTAACACAGTCAGGGGATCCTGATATCAGCAAAACAATGGCCAGACTTCTTTCTACAGCAGGTTCAGATTCAGAGTAAAATTATACCCCTAGATTTAGCCAAATATTACTGTCTTTTAGACAATACTATATATTATTCCAGAACAGCAAAGTTAAAACCTAAACAGTAAATTTAAGTCTGCGTTTCTCTTACCAAGGCAATTGGAAGCATCAACTTGTTCCTTTAGGAAGTCCACACACATTTTTTTCACAGGTTCAATTTGATACTGGTTTGCTGCATCTAGTAAAGACTGGACATTATTGCTGTTAACTGAGATTCTGCAAAACAGAAGGTGTAGGTAATTTTAGTGATGACAATCTTACTTTATTGCAGTAAAGGGGGGAAAAAACAAAACCAACTTATATCAATTCACATACAAGGCAAAATTATTTCCCTGCTATTTACCCAAGAATCTTTCACATACAGGCTGAGAACACAACCTCCCTTCATGACCTTTTCAAACTGCTTTACTAAGGAAAGGCAAAGGGTAACTAGTTCTGGATGCTGAATAAGCCTTTAACACAGGCTCTCTGCAGTACCGTACTACTGTGCTGACTTGAGCGATGAGCCACCTTCACAAAACAGAAAATGAACCAAATCTTTTTTTCTGACAGTCTCCCACTCCCAAACAGGTATCAGCAAAAGCTGTTTAAACTCATTGTCAGGATTGCTCTGGCTGATGTGCCCAAAGAGCACAAGCAGAACATCCAGTCTGGCAGTGCTTCAACGGAAACGTCAGAGCCAACGATAAGGGCTTGGGCACCAGAGGAGGCAACCATATGGCCTGAGGTGCTGACACTGACTCTCATCACTCTCATCACTGATGGAATATACAACAGGATTCCTCTCAAAGAAAGGAGAAAGCCTTCCTAAGGAGAGTTAATCCCATTAACACAAAGATAAAAGGTCTGCCACCCACCAGTCATGAGAGCTGATGAAGTAGTACTGTTTACAACCCTAGGCATCTGCACCAGCTTTGTTTTTTTAAACAAAACCCCATAACTGCCATATGCAGGGACAACTTGAGATAGGAGAGAAATGCTCTTCTCAGAACAGTTACCCACCCCGCCTGTCCCCAGATGGTGGTGTAACTCCTGGAAGCAGTTCTGTGCAATAGCTACCATGGCCGTAAAGAGAAACCCTGCTGATAGCAATAAGGGCCTGAATTTCAAAACAGTGGGAAATATCATTTGACTCCAACACTGAATTCAAAAGCTTGAAGTGCTTTGAATTGCTTCTGGAGACAACTACCAGCCTCTTTAGTCTGCAGGGCTTCCTACTGATTAAAAAGGAAAAGGGAAGAAGGACAGAAGATCTAGTTATATCAGGCTTTAAACAAAGTAAAGAATTGTAATGGTAACAAAACCCATGAATCATAAAAGCATTATTTTAAGATTTTATCATTGACATTTGGCAGGCTTCCTAGAGAACATGTCTGCTTTAAATAACAAAACTACCTTGCAGTATAAGCAAACTCCACAAGCTGTTCAATAATGTCAGGTTCTGCATCTTTCAGCTCCACTTCAAAGGATTTTGATTCGAGCATATTTGCTGCAAATAGGTTAAAAGACAAACTACATCAATAAGCCACTTTAGTTATTGTACATTTTGCAAACACTAGACAATAAAATGATCAGACAAAGTGGGAACCTGCTCAAAACTGCACACAGCTGACTGCTGTTTTCCCAGGATTACTAATGCAAGTCAGGAGAGAAAGGAGGCAGTGGGACAAACAAGGTAACACCAGCATGCACACACACCAGCTATGTAAATTACGATAAACTGTATTATTAAATTAAATGGAAAAGGTCATAGCTGCTGTTGACTGCAGTGCAGACTGCCAAGTTAGCATTACCAAAATCAGGAAGCACACACCGCCCTGTCAAAAGCTATTTCCACATTCAAGCTGACAACAATAGAGACAGCTCTGAGCTCCTCACATCCAGACGCAGCACTGTAAGGTTGCCCACAGACAGTCACAAGCCATCAGAAGGCACAACTATTTCACTTCCACTCGGCTTTGCTGTGCACTTTACAGCACAATACTTTTAAAAGTCATGGGTAAGGCATAAAAAAAGCAAGACATACTACATAACTGAATTCGTAAGGGTAGCATAAATGCAGGAATATTTTCACCCCTGAAAGGCCGTTTTGTATGCAGAGGTGCCTAATGGTGGGAAGCAATGGGGCAGACAAAGTGTCATGGGAATAAAAACTCCTTATTTTCAGGTTCAGGGAAGGAGACTAACTGTAACACAGTGTATGGGCCCCAATTAATAGGAAAGCTTACATATGAAGTAACACTTGATCAACAGAGAGTTAAAGGAGAAATGAGTGGAAAAGTGAACAGAGATGAATGGAAGACAGACACAAAATGAAGAAATCTTATCCCTGAAATTAATCACTTTTGTAAAATAAACCAGCTTGTCAGCCACAGTTCTAACAGGATATCATGACAAAAGTTAACAATAATTCAATTTTGAAAAGACTTACTAGTAAACATCAAATTAAAAAAGTGACTGGCTGAAGCAAGCACAACACGGTGAGCTGGGATCTTTCTTTCTTGAACCATAAGAATGACATCACACAGCGTTTTCTAAATCAGAGGAAAAAACAGACAAATAAAACCCATAAAGATCAGCATTTCTGAAAATCTTTTAACAACATTTCTTTAAAAACAGTTTATGGTAGGTCACTGCTTTTCTTAATCCACACAACTCGAGTATTATGTAATGAAAAATTTTCTGAAAGTCAAAGTTCCCGTTCAGTAACCTGGAGAACCCACTAGGTTCAGTTTACCCATGAACTTGTACCTTAAGAAGGGTCACGGATAACATATGAAATCTGATTAAGGTTTTTCCTACAGCATTTATATCAGCCTCTAATAACGTAGGCTCTGCAGCATCTAGCAGGGGCTGCATTTGTATTACACTCTCTTCATCCACCAGTGCTCTCCTCTTTGCTCAGCTATTGATTTTAAACAAATACCAAACAAAAAAATCCACACACAACTTGTAGGAACCTGATATTTGAAGAATGCCATCATATTGCTCAACTAGGGTGATAGCAATGAACAAGTTTAAAGCATTCAGTGGAACGTTTTAAAGAAAATGCATCCCAAGAATATGACTTCTACGGAAGTGTTTGACTGGTCACCATCTGACAAGCAACTAACCAACTTCCAGAGGAGGAGGGGAAAAAGAAAAACAAAAAGCACCTACACTAAAATTTATTTCTGTTTTGTTTGCTATTTGTATGTAAGCAGTAAGTTTCTTTCCTACACATGACCTGTCATGCACTAGAAGAAAAAAGGAAAGTTACAGAACTTTAAAGTTGTCAGGAGACATGAGAGGAGAGCAAGAGACTGAAATAAAAGCACACAATTTGGGTAGATTCTCAAATGGTACCTTTTCTAAGAACACATTCACTGAAGTAAATGCACATCACACTACAGTTAATTATAACATCCTCTTAATTAAGAAATAAAACCCAAGCTCTACTTCCTAAAAATAGGAATTAATTATCAACTACTACTTTAAGTTCATAGAGCTACCTTCAAAAACATCTGCCTAAACCCATCTCAATACTAACCCAGAAAAGAGCATTTCTACTGTGGGAAGCACATACTTGACTAGAAAAGTGTGAGAATGTTTTCCACAGACAGACAATATTATCTAGGACACACCTCATAATGCTGATAATCCATGTACGCAGCCCCTTCAAATAAACCTGTATTTTAGTTTCTTGAATGAAAAGACAATCAGAAGCACACACTGGACAAAATATAAATAATATATTAAAAAAATATTTAATTATTCATGAGATGGGAGTGACATCCAGCCTCCTTTGTACATCTGTAGCTTTAAACCATTTAGGATTGAAACAAGAAAAGGGATCATTTGAGAGAAGTTTCAGAGGAAATCCTTTAAAGCTTAAATTCCCAGCACATCTGGTTCAAAGTGAGCACTGGAAACCAGCAGTACAAGATACCACAAAATCCTGCGGGCAAGCTTTGCTAACGAACTCCATGCTGCACTCCTAAGATCCATTTAGTGCCTCGGCTCAGCATCTGAAGCACCTCAGATATTCTAAGGCCTCTCTGGGTGCAGGAAGAAATATTTGTAAAGCAAATCAGACCATCATTTTGACTTTCCTCTGGGCATGACCGTTCCATTTCAAATACTGCTTTTTGAGGATTTTTGTACTTCTTTCCAGGGAGATCCATTGGTGTCACCAAGTCACCTCAATGAGGCAACAGATGATTGATGTTACGTCAACCAAAGGGCACACCCAAGCATGAACTTGCACGAGGACACTTCATCTTCCAAATAACAGGTTCCGCAACACCTTGCAACTCTGCCTCAGCTTCATTTGCAATTGCTTCACTTTTGGCTGCCTTCTACTCAGCTGGAAAGCTGCAGCAAAGGATTTATGCATACACTGTCAAATAGCTCCGTAAAGCCCACAGTGACATGGGCCATCTCACAGTGGATGGTCCTCCACAGACTAAACATACTCACCCCAAACACCTCGCCAGTACCAACTGCAGGTACGTCCACAGCTTATTCCAGAATCCCATCCTCAGGGAGGCTGCCGCTACGCCTCCGCTCACGAAAAGCAACCACTTTAAAATTAGCTGTGCTTTCCAACTGGCCCATTTTCCTACAGCATTAAGCTAATGCAGATAAAAACTTAGTGCTAGTTGCTATTTCCATCACAGAAAATTTTTAACTCGTATCATATTCAGGTTTTATAACCACTGCATAGTTCTTCACTTCCGAAAATATAAGAAGAAAGAGTTGCCTACAAAGCCTCTTAAACTTTAGCACAACTAATTAGCTGAACAAGTACATTTTCCTCTGGCTCTTGCTGACTTCCCAATTTTATCCTATATAACCACACCTTCCCCTGTCCCCATCTCCCTCTCCCTCACTCCATCATGGTTAATCTCCTCTTACAAACTCCTAAAAGAAGTACAAGTGTTATGAACCATGCAAGATTTCTGGAGCAGTCAGCACTGGGTGGTGACCCAGATACGCAAAGCCACCATCTGAGGTCAGATTAGAAGTTTCCAAGAAAATCCAACAGAAGGCAAAATTCAGAGTTGCCACCTCCCTGAGCATAATAGATTTTGAAATCTGAATCAAAGCATACAAAGATTTTGCAGCACTTAATCTTGATCCTCTCTCTTCATGCTCAGAGTAACTTTTAAGTAGATGGGAGCTGAAAAGATGAAGTACTTACAAAAACAACTTAGTGCCACATACCAGGGTAGCGACACTGTAAACCACTAGGATTTCCCTGTGTTAGAGGCTGTACATATATCTAAGGGAGGGCGATATTTCATCTATCTACTTACAAAGCATAACAGCACCTGGAATCCCCTTGTCAACAACGACAGAAATACAAGCTAAACAGCAACAAGCTGCATTATGAACTAAGCTGCACCTTGAAATATGTTTACAAAATCAGAACAGAAACAAAACCTACCCAGAAAAAGCAGTTCATAAGCTTTACGTTTCAACTCCTCTACCTGAAGTCATTGAAACCAATTTGTCTTTTTCATACACAGGAGCTTAGCTGCATGAAGTGGTTTATGCAGACAACACAAGTGACTGTGTATTAGCGAGAGAAGATATCACTTGCTAGGCCACCACAAAAACTAGACCGAGCCCCTGGCAAGACTAGCACTGAGAGGATAAGTAGCTAAACCCCAGAGGATACAAAACATGACCCTGCCAAGTGCGAAGCCTCCAACTGCTCCTGAACAGCTGGGTTCAGAGTCAGCTTTAATTCTGGTTCCCCATTGCTGGTTTTAAATGAGCAATAGTACAACAATGAAGCCAGCTCCTCGACTAAGCCGAAAGACTACTTCGTGTGCAAGAGATCACCCTTCTTCTATTGTACCAGAAGTCTGAGCTTTTTAAGACGGAAAAAAAACCCAAACCATGAACACTTCCTCCAGTTTGGACAGCTCAGCTAAAATCCACTTGTGTAATTATAATTTTGGTCACCATTCTTGCTCTACTGGAAAACAGAAGAGTCACTTTTAATTACCATTAGACTACTGCTCTAGGAATCTGATCTGCTAAAAAAAGGTCCGAAATGGCAAAGGTGAGGCTCCCAGCTCCCTACACTGCTGCCTGCTTCTCCGTGAGACAGCCAGATGTGTTCCATGCAAAGTGCAAGAAATGCCACCTGTGAAACCCAACCCCGGTTCCAGCCATTGCTCTCCTTCTGCCACATCTTCACCACCCCAGGAAGCGTTCCCAGGGGCACAAGTCAATCTGACGGCAGAGCTCCCGGTCAGAACTCTGCGTCAACATCTGAACTCCCCTCCGGCTTCTGCACGAAGCGGGCTGCGCAAATACTCCAGCCCGGGGAACCTGGGCC